GATCTGGACAAATGATAAAAAAAGGAGGTGCAAATCCAAGTTTTGTTGCTTCCAAATGTCACACACATTTTGGCCATATGCTGTTCAGACTAATTTCCACACAGAAATCACTTCCAACCTGTCTCCCCCTTGAGAAAGAACCTCCAAAAATCTTGACAAACGCACCGCTCCTAAAGAGATCTCAGAGATGTTCGGCCTCCAATCCCAGGGGCAAATCCAGCTCTAAGTGATCTTGCGCCCAGGCATTGAACATCCTCGCAAACGCGCGGGAGAACTCTCAACATGCCGAACCCAACGACACGCCTTGGCGCGCGAAAACCCACACGATGCGGCTCCGTCGAGGTCGGTCCAGGAGTATTGCGGAGTGATGGAACCCGAGAACAAGGGCACACCACCCAAAAAGGCCTTGAACACTCTCATCTGATTTGCGGTCGATGAATCCAGCGGTCACTTGAACACTTAGCACTGGAGCAATCGGTCCCTTTGACAACTCCCCTTCTCTTCCACATCATCCACTAGGACAAAGACACAGCTGTGATCTGGATGACTTCAGGCAGTGAACACTCACCAGCAAACCGACCAACGGCAACAAAACAAGCACAAATACATATTACATACGGTGGTCATGCTTAATGCCCCAAACATCACATGGAGGAAGCACATAGCCGCCATACGGATGACGCACATGGTTCCACGATGGTACGCTTGTGATTCCATGCAGCACAGGAAGAACGGGCACGGCACCGTCTCCTGAAGCCAATTCGACGTGAAGACCTGCTTGTGTTTCTATAAGCACAGGCTTCGACGTCAAGTGGCGAAAGCACGTTTCATTTCTTCGTTTGGTTTCGTCTTGCTGTTTGATGTGTTTTTTTTTGGGGGGGGGGGGGGTTGTAAATGCACAAATGTGCCCGGAGCTCTGAGCTATCCAACTTTGACAGGTTTCAAGGTCTATATTGACTCTTTGGAACCTTAGAACCTTAGGTTGCCTGCTCTAAGGGCACGAATCCACGCACTTGGCAATGGCTCCTGAAGCTCACATAGCCATGATCGCCGCTGACCTAGGCCAAAAAAGGATAAAAAAGGGAGGTTCTGCTAACTGCGATTTCGATCTGGTGAGGGGCATGGAACCATGCCATGGTTCATTTGGGCGTGTAATAAAATTAATTGTCAAATTGGAGACCTCTAAGGCAACGACCCCAGAAGGAACATCGACCAACATCCATTGGTTGGGTGTCTCCCTATTAGAACACACACCCATTTGTTGGAGGGCTCTTGGACTCAACTGGCAACTGGTGAATATCGGCGCTTCGCTTTCCTCCGGGCCCAACAAACGTGGTCTGCTTCGAGCAGAAAACCAGCGACCCACTTCCAGGATTCCATGTTCCAAATTGTTTCATGTTCAAAAAAATCCACGGACACAGGGGTCGACTTCAGGACTCCTTCAGGACCAACGACGTCCCTGAGACCTCCCCACGACCGGTGGCGGACACGACGCCGCGGTTCGGACCGCACTTTTTGCACCGGAGTCGGAACCGGCCACAACTCCACATTGCAGGCACCAACGCCTGCGGGGCGGGTGCGGTCGACTGAAGGAGTAGACCGAACAGTGAAGTCACCCTTCCAAGAATCGATCTGAAGTCATCAGATCATGTGCGAAGAAAGAAACAAGCTGCAGAACTGGACCCTTTCACTTGAAATAAGGTATATCCTGATCCATGTGTGTTGTCATGTGGCAAGCTGGCATACAACCGCGTAGTCAGTCATTCTCCGGCAAAGCACCTATATCCCAGACACTCCATGCAATGTATGCCATATATGCCTACATTGGGGTGGCTTGAGGGGTCAATATATGGCAGTCCCATGGAGTGTCTGGGTAATGTCTCATGTTCCGTGTTGCTCACCGGTGGAATCATGTCCAAAAGTGCCGGACGCATCGTCGAAGAAGACGTCGACCACTTTGCATCCCAGGAATTTCCAGGGTGCAATCGATCGAAGAAACCCGGAGCCTCTAAGAAGGGTGCTGATTTGTTTCGTCTACCAGTCTACCACGCTTCACGGGAGCCCTAGATCTTCTCTCTTGCTTGAAATATGAAAACAAAATCAGCATATCCTGCCTGCATCCCAGGATTTCTGGTCTCTACAAAATGTACCATACAAAGTCACTTTGCTCCCACTGCCAGTTGTGCATACTGTAAATATCTAGAATCTAAAACCTGAGTGACACCTGCTTTAGAGCCAAATCCTTGCCTTTGTCTATCAACACGGAGGTCCAATGGGCTCACACGGCATGCTAGATAGATAGATAGATTCCAATACCATGGTCCAATTGAAACCACGACCCCTCTTCGTTCATCTGCGCTTCGTTCATCTGCGCCTCGATCATCCACCTCAGAACAAGAGAAAATACACTCCCTTGAAAAAAACACATGGCTACGTGTGTGTGTGGCATTGCCGCATGGCCCCGTCATACGGTCTATATAACCCAGCCTTACGACGAGTCCATTCACGTGGTGACCGTTCACATCACCACCACAGATGGGTGAACCAGGGTGGAAAGTGTAGCTTTTCGATCGGCAAAGCCCGACAAATGGCCGGTCTCGCTTGTTCCATCACGTTGTTGTTAAAGCTAGGAGACCCAAACACGACCCTTGGGACTGCCAGTCCGGACTGCCGCCCCGACCCGCAGTCAACCACCCCTGGCCTGATCGGCATATATATGGCAGTCCCATGGAGTGTCTGGGATATGTTTTGTGTAGCCATCAGGTTCAGATTTATGGTTATATAACGAACCTTTGTACAAGTCTGCCCGGAAACTGCCCCCAGTGGCCTCCGGAAACTGCAACGATGGACATTCCCTGTTTGTTACGGTCTTCATCTATACCGACAGCACACCAGCCATCACCCAAGACTGGCACAAAGGGAGAGAGGGAGAGCATGAGGATACATGAGATAAACATTGATCCATAATCTTCAACTTTGGCCTTACAAGGCTGTACCCTCTGCCACCTCTGTTTCCCGAAATCTGTTAAACATCTCAAAGCGGATGGAGAAAACACCTTTTAGTGGCTTTGCACTGCGCGTCCGAGGCGCATAGACGTGGAAGGCCACCCTCGCGCCTTTGTCGAGGTGAACACCTTCCACCAGGTCTGATGCTCCTGAGATGGCAAAGGCGGGATGCCGTGCTGGCGAAGAGCGGCCGCTAGCCGCCATGTTTTCTATGGTGTTCTATAAAAACTCGAGCCTTTTTGTTGAGCCTTAGTAAGGTGAGAGTCAATAGGTCGCATGTAACAGGAGCGTTTGATGTGGCCTTCGTATGTTTAAATGTAGACAATGGCACAAGCTGGAGTTGCCCGAAAAAAACTCTTGACATGTCTTGACGATATCGGTTCTGACCCAACCCCGTAGCAAGCCGTGTGCTCCAGAACCCGAATCAAAATGACCATGAGCAGCGTTCCATGTTCCATCGAATTTGTGCTGGATTCCTTGGGGAATGTCAAGTGGTGTCAAGTGCAAAGACCCTTCAGGATGTACCTGTTTCCCTTCCTTTAAGCGGGGGTTGGATGGATTTCACTCCTCAGCACCTACGATTCAACCCCTTCAATCACATTCAATCACCACAGTGACCAGGCTCGGACGTACAAGAGCGCCTCTGGCGTGGCCTTCTCAGCTGCCTGCGCACGCGTGGCCAACCGACGAGGAAGGCACACATCTCGCACCATAGATCAAACACTGAATCTTCCTAGACAAAGTGAAAACTTAAAATACACTATTTCTACTATATATAACTATTATAGATTAAATTGCGGTGTTTTCAATTGAAACGCTGCATCATGTTTGTTCATAGCCACAAATCAAACTTATATAACCCGGGCAAGGCGGCCAAATTGTTCTTTTCCAAAGAGGGACCCCCAACAGAAACCGCACAAAAAACATGACAAGACGCAGCGCTCCACACATTTCATCAGCAGCTGCCATGCTTGGTCTCCTTCAGCGATTATCCTCCATGCGCCACGACGACTGACCCTGCCTCGCGCGCTGCACACTGGGCTTGTTGCATGAGCTTGGCCTGGCCCCCCCAACGCATTCACACATTCGTAAGAGCGCATGATGGTGACAGTGATGATGGTGATGATGATGACAACGACAATCATGATGATTGTACTGGAATTGGAAGAGCTGCACGGATATTACCCTCCCTGCGACAATCATGCAAATGGACGTCCTGACCCCTGGAAAGACCATTGCTCTACAAACAGGGGGTTGTCCATGGTTGTCCACTTCAAAATTGGTGCAGGGATGGTATAGCTTGGTGGGTATGATACATTCCAATGCCCGATCCTTGATGGGCCCAACTTCTGGCCCTTCGGCGGTTTGAGGCTGAAACACGTTCCTCCTCCACAACTCAAAGAACGCTGGACCATTTTGCAAGGCGCTCCTGAGATGTGGTGGTTTACCGTCAACATGTCCATTGCGACCACACATGTTGTTCCATAGTCACTTATATACATGTGTTGCCGTATAAAAACCGCAATGATGCACCACTGTTTTGCCAACATGCTGTATGAGCAGGCTATTCTTCCACCACCCTGACTCTGCAGCTTTCTTGACGCACTGGCTTCTTGACGCACTCAATCATTTCACAATGTCCACTGACATGCCCCAACCGCGGATGTTTTCCGCTGATATCCTTTTCTCGGGCGCAGCTGCTCAGCAATCTTGTTCTCTCGGATCTCGCTCAATCTTTCTAAGCCTGGCAACCTGAAAGGCTCGAAAGCATCCACTGTGATCCACCAGGATCCAGTATACAGGTCAAACATCAACCTTGGGTCTATCCCATTACCAGTAACAGTGGATGATGATCATGATGATGATGGTGATGATGATCAGTAAAGGCCTTCTTCTAAGATGTGGTGATTGAATGTAATTGATTGCTTACCAACTGTTATGGGACAGACCCAACATTAAACCAACGTTCACATTCTCAGCTCATGCGCGCGTCTTCATTTAGCAGTGCGTGTCGTGGTAGACACAGTTGTCGCTCCAGCCGTCTCGGGGCCGTTAGCCTTGGAGACCGCGGCGAACGGAGGTCACTCTCCCTAAGCATCGATGTAAAGACCCTCCTCTAGAGTGAATAGCCCCTGGTTTTGAGGATCCTCGATTCTTAGGATGCCAACAACCTCAGAAACATTCTGACACGTCGGCAAACGGTCGCCTCGCGTTCGATCATTTTCTCCATTGTCTTGGGAGAAAAACGTGGCAACACTGGGCTTTGCCAGCCAAATCGACCAGAAACCAACGAAGCAAAAGGATAGACCGACTGGGATGGAAGGAATATGGCTATAGCAGCTAGCACCTACCTGCTACCCATGCTGAAGGAATTTATGCCTCCGAACAGCAATTTACACAGCAGCACAAACAAATTTATTCACAAATTGCAAGGACCCCTTGCAAGGACCCCTCTGTACAGCAACTACAGCTTCACTTGGCCCTGGAAAAGAATCCGGTCGGTCTGCCTCTGTTCAATCGAATCGAATGAAACATCTATACACACCCATGGTTCCAATGCTCATGAACAATCATGAAAGATGAGGGACGTCCTTGGTCTAAGATGTCCATCTTCTCTGACGTTCAAGGCAACGAGCTGAGCTGAGCTCCAACGAAACCAAACGAAACGCCGCTCCGGAAGGCGTCCAAGGCGTCCAAGGCGTCAAAGGCGTCCATTGTGCCGCATCAAACGTGCGAACACTCCGACACCCTTGGGCTGTCTATTGCGACTTTGGCCTCTCAAAGTATGAGATGCCCGTTTCTTATCCGATCGGGGTCTGGCCACCCACCTGCCAGCGGCCAAGGAAAGCCCGACAAAACCACCAGGTTTTGTTCGTCCACATCAGCTCCGTAAGAGCTGAGCAGCTCCGCAAGAGCGGAGTTGAACGGTATCCAGTGGTTTCAAGAGGAAAAATGGGCACGCTTCCCCCAAGATGTCCTGAAAAAATGGGGGGGTCCATTTGGCCAATCTTTTGGGGATTGTGCCATCTCTGGAACCACTATACCGTTGATTGGTCAACCTGTTGAATTTGTCCCACTAGTTGGAGAGGTCAAGCAAATCCGACCAGGTCGCTGAACTGTTTGGGTTCCACCAGGTTGCCTCACATGGCCTGAATCCCCAGGCAAGTGGCCAATGGCAAGGTCTCCTCTTTCTTTTCCTCGTGCAACTTCAGCAGGGCCCATGTGCTCACCAGCACCTCATCGGTTTGCATCGCAGCCGGTGCGTGCCCTTATGGCGCGCCTTTACTCGAAATCTGTATCCGAAGAACTATGGTGCACACCCTGCGGGTATGGCTCGAAACAGGATGCCCTTCAAGCCCCCATAAGCTGGTACACGATGGAAGATTAACATGAGACCTGGAAACAGCTTGGTTGTATAGAGAAAAATAGTCTTCCAAAGATTCACGTTGATCTCCCCGTGTGTAAATGGCAAACATTCCGTATGCATGTGGGGTTGCAGGTGGTGCCCATCTGAGCCACCTTCGGAGCCCGACACGCGGAAACCAATCCTTAAGCATCCTCTGAAAAACGGTGTGCAGTACTCAGTGTGGGAGGTTGTGAAGGAATCCATTTGAATCGTTGAATTCCAATTTCAACAGACTATTGGAGGCCGATGCCAAACTCTGTGGATTCGCCGTAGATGCCAATTTGTTTGTCGGGTTCGTCAATGCTCTTTTTCTTGGTCCATTATTGAAGCTGAAATCACTGCCACAAGTATTTGTCATGCGTCTGTTCTCCTTTTCTCGCAGCAGGGGCCCCATGATCTAGTATGGCAGCACCCCAAAAAATAGCTTTCCAAAGTGTGGCGAAGCTCTCAATCATTTCACCTGCGTATAGTCTACTTTTCAGTCTGCCTGGGCGATGCTTCCAGCTTCTATCCCCCGTAAGTGGAGCAACACCTGCCGCCACATCCCCAATTTCAGATATCTGGGCACGAGAAGTACGCCGAAGACAAAGAGCATCACATGCTGAGATCCCTTCAGCCGATTCAGCTCGCCAAATGCCAATTGCGCCTCTCCACCGAGAAAACCAGCACCAAAACTAGGAAAACTGCTCCTACCGGGAGAAAAAGCACGCCGCTCAAGCAAAACCAAGAAAAACAAATTCGACCAGTTCGCTCCGTCCATTGTTTAGGAGATGTCTGTGACGACATGTGGAGATGGTTCGAGCAGCTTGGGTCGGAGGGAAAGTGAATAATGCAGAATGCACCCTATAGACATCCCTAGACTTCAGTGCGGGCATCGTGGAAAGAAACTTTAGTGCACTTGCGACATAGAAGGCCTTCTAACCTCTTCAGTACCTTGACACCGTGGGCTTCCACATGAGCATGGCAAGCTCCAAATCGACCCCAAGACGGCCAGACCGAACACAAGGCGTCTGAGATCAGGCATTTGTCTGCATCTGTATCTCAGATTCCGCCTTCAGGATGATGATAGCTGGTTGGGCCGACATGGGAATGGCCGCATATTCAACACTAGATCTTGAGAAGGTGTATGATCAAAAAGTATAACAGGGAACTCTCCAACCACTGGGTTGTTGACATGTCCCGTTACGAAAGGGTCTTGTTTTGCATGCCAAACACCATCCAAACGGAGACCACTTCATGCTGCTCAATCTTTCACCACAAAGCGACAAAGCGCGAAACTCTCCCTGGCGCGGAATGACCGGTTCTTTCAAGGAAGATCACTCCTATAAGAGGATCAGGATTCTTTCCCCACTTTGGACCTCCAAATGGTCCCACTTGGACTCACATGGCATGAAAGTGCATCTTCCAAATGCGCCGTGATTCAGGAAAATCGCCGTCCTTGGTCCGTGTTCCAGTCCCAAACGCAGTGAGTCAAAGTGTACCCGACGCGTCTTTCTGCCCCTTCGACGCACGTCGCGACGTGGTCAAAACGGCCAAGGACATGGGACCCGAGGATGGTCGTGGGATAGCGGCTGCCAGGTCTTAGATGATCAGTGTACCGACAGCTCACGGAAAGAATACAAGTTTTCTAACCGACTTGTCTTTTTGGCAGGCAAGGACCCCCCTAAGCCCACGACCCCTGCTTAGAGGGCATGTGGATCCTTGGGCAACTTTGAGTTTGGACAACCTTTGTGACAATCCATGACCAAAAGCAACACATCCAGCCTGAAAGATCGTGAACAGGACACCCATCGCAAAAAAGGTGGGTGTGATGACCACTGCGTCACTGCAGCCTAAAGCGGTCTGCATTACCAGAATCCTTGGCGAAAGACCATGTGTCGTGTATGTCGTGTGTGTGTGAGGGTCTTCTGAGTGAAGTTGCCATTGTCCGACTGATTTGTTGAATTGCATTAGAGAGAGCAAAGAACAAATCCTGTTCATTGAGGTGCAAGCGGTTTCAAACGGTTTAAGCTATTGATTCCAAGTGCTTTGGAAAAGGTTTCGCCTTCAAACAAGCACACTACACAAAAATGACTTCTTGTCCAAGAGTCTGGAGCAAGAAGATGCACAGCGCCCCAATTCCCAGGCAATACACGTGTGGATCGTGCAACCATCCTTGGCTGATGTTCACTATTGACCTGGTGAACGCATGTGAACACGTAAAAACTCAGCTAGGTCCTTGGAATCTGCGCCACAAAGCTACACCAGCAGACCAATAAGTCCACTGAACTCCAGAACCCTGTGCTTGCCATGCGGCCTCCTTGATGGCCAGCTGTGTTTGCGATGATCTCCCCTATGGTCTTCACGAAGGCCGTTGCATAGCAGCCACAAGCGCCACAGGCTGTAGCAAGGAAGACTAGCTTCAAAGGCAAGGAGAAACGAGACAAAAACAGCAGAAAGGAAAGCAGAATCATCACCTCAGGGCGGCTGATTTCATCTGATGGCCGACCCTACAAGTACTTGCAGGTGGATGAGTTGGGATGGATGAGTTCGGAGAAGTTGAGTTGCCATGAGGACGCAAACTTATCGAACACATGTTTGTTAAGAGCCTCCTCAGGTGAGAAGCTCTTGCCAAACGGGTGTGGTTTCAAGATTGCTCGTCCAGGTGGTAGCCAGCACCCCAGGGTTTGAGCTGGTTCCTCTTTTTTTCCGAACTGGATAGTTGGATAGGGATGAATTCCGCGACGTCCCAAATGGATCAAAACCATCCAAAACCAACTTGTTGAACTTGCCAACTTTATTCACCTTAATCCCAAACCGCTCCATGGGACGTCTGGCATCTACATGGGCTTTCTTTCTGTGTCAGGAGTCTTACGGTAGCCATAAATCCTGTTTGGGCTCCAGTCGTACCGTACCTAAGAAGGTGGGACTGGGGTGGGTTTAGAGGGTCCAATCATACCTTCGGACTGAAGCCCCAGCGCCAGGGAGTGTCTGGGAATGGCAGGAAAATCACATTGAGATTCACCGACAAATCTCATCGTGGCGAATGACCGGGAGTTATCTACACACACTTCACTGGGCTCGGTCCATCTAGGATGCCTTGAAGTCCGAGGAGACCATGCTATCAAATATTGGGCAAATTCCCCCAAACAAAGAACTGTATCATATACGGTATCCCTAGTATCCCCTATAAACATATATGATTATCATTGCTCTTACTGACTCTTCAATCTGTTACGGTCCGTTCCCTCCACAAAACACCAATTCCGATCCCCGGGGTTCCACGAAGTTCCGAGGCACCGTGAAGGCCGTCGCGAGGAAACGGCCATTCTGCGAGCTGTTGAAGATGTGATCCACGTAGAGCACCTCGGAGGTCGGCGGTGAAGGGCGGCGCACCACGCGAAGTCTGGAAGTCTGAGGTCTGCTGAGGTCTGGGGTCTCAAATCTCTAGGTTTTGAGGGACCAGGACTGTTGGAGCATCTGGGTAGGTAGTCACTATAGGTTAGTCTCAGGTCCGTTGGTAGGATGGACGAATGACCTTCCAAAGTAGTGTTGAATGAACATCCACACAAGTTTTTCTGGGTAGTTCATGGGAGGACTTTGGTATCGCACCATACCTTTTGGGGTGGTGACATCGACCTGCTCAAGTTGACAGTCATGTCTCGCGGCTGCTCTGGCGCCCCTGCAGCTGAGTCATGTCTCCCGACCACCCGGCTCTCTTGAGAGGTTGACAAATTTTAGCTACTTTGCTTACTCAAAAGTTGTCATTTCGATTACTTTCTGGAGACCTCAAAACACGTGTTTTGAGAGGTTGACACATTTGAGCTAATTAGCTTCATGTCTAAACAAGCTATCACATCATAGTTAACGTCTAGCTCCAGTTAGCTTTAGTGGAGCTAGAGCTAGAGCTATGCTTCACTCATCACTCATCACTCATGCGTCTGACTGAGGGACACGAGGGACACGCATGGTGGAAAGAACCGGGACACCCCTATAGGTCAATTTGTTCTTATAGGAAACTTCCGCCGCCGGCTTGCCCGGGAACTACTTGTATTTCTCTGAGAGCTTTCCACGGTGAGCATTTGGACGGTGCAAGACGTGCTTTTGACAGGATCACGTGTTGTGTGTTTGTTATTTCTTTCTGGGGTGTTCGTGACATTTGCCTGCAGTATGCGGCTGAAAAAGGATTAACAAGAGCTACATCTATTATAGACAATGCGAATACAAATGCAACAATCATCAACTATCTGACATTGAAGAAATCACCCACAACCAAAACACACGAGGGTATAGGCTGTAGGTAATCTTCCTTCCAAATCAAGAACTCATCTGATGCCAAGCCCAAAGGATAAACAGCTGCCCCCCACCTGTGGCGGCACTGGCGTTTCCATGACCACCAGCGATGCCCCAGCAATGAGAAGCATCATGACCTACGGTCACAAAGCAATTGGCCGATTCGGTCACGAACGGCTACGAACGGATGATTGGCGTTTCTTCCAAACAAGTCTTCTCCGACGTTTCCCGCGGTGACTCGACTCTCCAAATTGGACGGCCTCCGATTTGGCCGTCTCCAGGACGGCCAGGAGGGTTGGACATGGGTCCACATCCATCACTTTGATGATCACTCTGGAGGGGGCCCAGCAATCACACACAAAAACAATCAAACATACATCTCTTAGGTATATCATGGTACAATGGTATTGGATGTTTTTTTTTTAATCCCATTCCCTCCAAAACATGGGTGTTGATCGTTAGTGAGTGCAGGCCTTTCTCAAGAAAAATAGTGATTATCCTTTACTGACTTCTATAATACTGTTTGTAGACGGAACACATCCTGTGACATCGGTACCTCTATGGCCTCTTACTCGCTGCTTGTCTCTTGGTCATGGGACACCCCGTCCGTGACACACCCTAGAGATCTCACAAAAAGAACCCCTCAGAACTCTTGGCGCAAATCCCCAGTGCCTGTTTTGGTGGACGTCCAGTCCCCTTCTTTTTCATCACCACTTCGGAAATTGAGCTTTCCCGCCCGTCCTCGATAAAACCCCCTTGAAATCCCGACATGGTATACGGTCCCTGCGACTGGTCCCCCCTCCGCGCCATGACTTGCGCCAGGTAGAGTCGTTCGTGCAGAAGCAGCTTGGCCAGGCAAGCGTTGAAAACGATCCTTGGGTAGAGATTAGGAAATTCAGAAGAGCAGTGGGATGAGAGCAGTGAACCCTATTTCTAAACAAAAAGCAGTCGACTACCAGTCAACAAGAAGACGAGTGGCAAGGAATAAGCATCCACTGACCTGGTGATCTTTGCCGATCAAACTGCAAAATGGTCGAAAGTGAACCTACTACTACTACTGCTACTACTACTACTACTGCTGCTACTACTACTAACTACTACTTGCTACTACTACTACTACTACTACGACTCCTCCTCCTCCTCCTGCTGCTGCTGCTGCTAGTAATACGGATGACGATGATTTGAACATCCTAAGGGGACTCTAACAGTCTATACCGTATTCGATGATAACTGTAGTAGATGGTGACAACACGTAGTAACTTCATACAAGTAGGAAGTTTGATCAAACCTGAAGACAAAGCCCATCCCAAAGACTCCAGTTCACAAGCTTTCAGCCAGCTTTCCACAGTAATCGATCATCATCTTTTCAATGGGTCATGATGATCATGAATCATGACATCCCAAACATGCCACCAATGTGCCACCATGATAACAGTCACCTTGTTTCTTGTTGTATTTGTCTTCTGGTGGGGGGACACCTCCACACCCACTTTCTTCCGTCCTGCGTGCCGTTTGGGCTCGTGAGGGAGCCAAGGATGCTCACCACGGTTTGGGGGACAAAGGCTAAGGCAGGCATGTTCAGAAGTGCCCCGATGATCATGGAGACCACACCGAAGATCCACAGCCTCAGTTCGACCGATCCATCCGATCCATCCGATCCCATCGCGTGGCATGGGGTGATTGGGCCATGCCAAAAGCGAGGCTCAAGGGGGGGTGCAATCCGGCCGTATCCAAGGGAAGTATACCGATCTGAGTGTCGCCGCCGGCCCATTTCTGAACGAACAAAGAAATCACCTGAAACTACAGGAAATCACAGGTTTTAGGTTAACATGACTGCGCCGCGCAGCGAAGCTGCGAAGTATCCAAACCAAAGAACATGACGCAAAGCCATGTGAAAACAAACAGGGCTAACATAATATGAACAAAACTTAAATCAATCCAAAGCCTCGAAATAAACTTTGCCAAGGTGATGTGGTTAAACCCCCAGCCCCAACTCCTCACCCAAATCACCAGCGTTTCTGTCTTCCAAACTTAGCGTTTGGGTGTATGAGCTCCAAGTTCTGGGGGGATTATCTATCTGATGTGTCCCTAAGTTCTCATGGACTCTTCCCACTAAAAAACAACACACAAAACTATATAATTGGTGTTTTCTCCATCTTCTTCCTTCCCACCTCCAGTCTGACGGATGCAAGAGAATCTCGGGATTCTTGAGCTATTTGTTCTTGGATGGGCACTGCCAGAACGGTGCATGGTTGATTAGGTGTTCGACTTTGGTCAGGTGGCGGCCGCGCATAGTAGGCATCCTTCGACTGCACATGTGCTGACTTTTGGATCGTGATGCCAAGGGCGGTTAAGAAGTTCGCAGCAATGCACAAGCAAAGCCCAAGAAGGTAGCCGACCTTGGCGCTCGACCAAAGATATTGTGACACCCTGCCTGCTCAAAGCATCTTAGAAAGAAGGACAGCGACGGTGTATGTCAAATATTCACATATAAATATATATGTATATTATATATATATGTGTGTGTGTATGGAGATGGATATTCACATATATATCTATATATATACACATACACACATCATTCAACACATAATTATTTAAACTGCCAGACACATTAACAACAAAACAGAGTGTATATTCATATACAGGCGCTTAATGCACACAGCACCACATTGCATCGAATATATTAATATATTAATATATATATATATGTATATTAATAGTCTGTATGTTAATGTTTTTTTCTGAATGAATCTCCCACCAGGGCAGAAAGGGGGAATGCCCTAACTTCTTAGGCATCCTTGTTTCAGCAAAGAGTTAGGTGCTCTGGCAATTCCATAAGTCCAAGGTTCCTCCCTCTCAAACAGTCAACAAAAGCACCTAACCTCAACACCTGCAACCCACCCTCCTTGCTCCCGAGTGGCATAGGTCGAGGTCGGCTCCACACGGGCCGTTGTGATGATCATGGAGGGGTTCAGTGAACGGATGGGGTTTCCAGGGCTCTGCTTGAGCCTGTGAGCATCCAATCTCCTCCCTTGGCGCCAGCCTAGCCTTTCCATACATTTCCACCCCCTCCAAAATACAGAATGATCAAATCCCAAGGCCACGGTAAACCAAACGGCAAGTTGAAGCGCAATCTCAACGTTGCTCCGTGTTGCTGCAAAAGACTGCAACAACAAGAAACAAGTTGGGTACGGCTGGGGGGTTACCCTTCCCAGGGTCCCAGTTGTTTTTTCTTTGGGTGGGTCGGTGGGCCACAGCCCTTACAAGGTGGGCCTCACTAGACTGCCAGGAGTTTGTTGTTGTTTCATCCGGAGGTCGACGGAGCCAAACAACCCTTCAGTCAATTATGATCAATTATGAGAAGGCGTTGGAAAGTAGTTGGACAGGGCATGATAGGCCTGATTCCGTTTGTGAAATTCACATAACTCTACTAAGTCTGATTGGTCAACAGTTCACTTTTGGGGGCGACTGTTGGAGTGGAAACAATCTTCTTCCAAAAGATTCACAACAAAGCTACATCCAGGTCAGCATCATCTTCCAAAGTTTAAACTCGTCCACTTTCCAAATGCTGTGGATCCCATTGGCCAGTTGGAAGTTTGCTTTGGGCTGCACGAAAGAAACTGTATGCCTCAGTCATGTCCAAGTGGCAAATGCAATGTCCCAATCGGGTCACGAAATCCCTAAAAAAGTCTTTTGGATTGGGTTTGTACCAGCTCCAGTTCCCATCATCGTCTGGCTATATCCCATGGCCACATAGCCACTAAGAGTGGATGATGATGGTTCGTGAGTGCAAGGTCTTTTCTAACAAAATAGTGATCACCGACTGAACCACAGCTGGGACAAACCATACGTACCATATATCTTGGTTTATGACTCTGATGATTGGATGTAATAGTGATGGACTTACTGTGATGGTTCTTTGACCGACGACCGACTCTCTGTTTGGCACACCGACGCCGGAAGCGGACTCGGACAAAGACTGGGAGCTCCGTCCGTCCGGTCGGACCCGAAGGAAGACCCGAGAGCGGAGCAAGCAACCAAAGTGTTTCTCCCAAGTGCAGACTGTTGATCCACAAATAGACAACTAGGTTTTGAAAAGGTTGTTCAATCCAAATGGGGGATCGTTTCTTGATGTCTAGATTTGGGGTGGGGGACCAAGAGTCTACATCATCATTGTGATGATCTTTTCTCCTAGTGTCACCAGCTTTGTCCTCTAGAAACAACGACACGCACACAGCGACGCGTCAGAAGCATCCCGCCTGCACAAAGGGTGGCAAGGTGGACGTGACATCCGCACGAATCAAACCTCTTGGCAAACGAACAACGGAGATGAATGTGAACAGGCGAAGCTCTCAACTGAGTCCCCAATTGGTCGGCTCATTGATAGAAACTAGAATCGTCTCAATGTTGTTGCCAAAACTCAGTTTTGCAAAAAGGTTTTGATGTGTTTTGATCGAATTTGGGGTCACAACATGTGTTCCGACCCCCAATGTTGTTCCACTCAGTCAAGCTTTAGAAGATGTCGATGATCCACTTGGGTCACACCCGTTTTACAAGGGGCAGATTGTGGGCGCGTAAAGTCGCAAGTGTTCGTTCCATGTAGGCTATACTGGAAACCATGGATGATGATGGTTGCAAGCCTTTCTCAAAATAACGATAGCCTCTATATAACTGACTGTTCGTGTTTGTTTGGGACACACCTTACCTACAAGTCATCTACTTCCGCGGAAGGAACCATCTCATCCCACCCCGCCAGGGCGCCAGGCTTGGAAGTCTGTTTGCAAGAGGCGTTTTTTAAAGAAATCACAGATTCCTGGGATCCTGATCCCTCTTCCTGGATCTCTTCATGCTTTCACCAAGAAAAAAAACAGAGCTAGGCTGTACCAATTCTTAGGATCTCTTCTTCACCAACTCTTCCATTTCATGGAAGACACGTCGTTTCCAAACACGTTCGATCGACCACGTCCATCTTCAGGACCATCGTCTCGACTGGGTCGACCGAGAGGCACACGGCCCAGAACGTCAGCGTCCTGCCAGGGCACCCCATCTCTTCAGCTCATGCCAGCGAGTCACCTCTCCTCAGGCTGCGGCTTCACCACTAAGAGATGGAGTCTGGAGTGGTTTATGTCCTCTGACATCTACGAAGCAGGAGTTTCATCCCGACATGCGCAACAATGTCTCTCAGGGCGATCTACAGACATGCTGAAATCCTGGTCTGATGTTCCACACCTATGGTCCGACACGTTTGGTTGGATGTAGCTAGATGTCGCGGGACACATGTCCTGAGGTCCTGTGATCGGATCCGTCACCCGAAACGGTTGATCGTCCGAAACGGACGGCAAACATGGCCAGTTCTTGTCCAGCACAAGAGGAAAACATGGAAAAAACATCACTTGCGTTGATCTCCACCAAGGGGGGGTTCATGAATGAAAAAGCAGTTCAAGCATTACCCCTCTTGCTGCCTTGCTGCACCCCAAGAGGAAAGGCAGCACGAATACGCAACACTGGCTGGGAGACGCACCACTGGCTCCTGCCTAGTGGAATGCGTAATTGGGGATCCTTCCGCATGTACATGACCATTTATATAGTTATAGTGTATATTATAAAAGATCTATTAGGACCCCAGTAAGTTCACTCTCAAGCTGCTTGAGGGCCCAATTGGAGCATCTCCGGTCCTTTAAGCCTTCCAACATCGCTGGACTTAGCCGTGCTGAGACAGGACCCGAAGTTCAGACTGCTGCTCGTCAGCCCAGGTGAAACAATAACCAAACAAGACCCCCTCTCCACAGCGTTGCAAACGAACACCGCATCGCCCCGGTCCACAGTGTCCATGACTTGGTTCAGCTCATTTCGATCGGACTGGCCTTCAGATCATCCGGCCTTTTTTTTTCAAAACAAGAACGCCATGGTGCTCGCTCCTCCACCGAAAGCCTCCCGCTTTCGGGTTCAGTTCCCTTGACCAGTTCGCCTGAGAGCAACAGCTCTCGACCAGCTTCTTCAGTCCGTGACCTTTTTGGAGTCTGTAAAGTGGCCTGTCGGCCTGTCATAGCACGCCTAGCTGAGTGACCGAAAATCCTGAGATCTCAAGGACGGTCACGAACGAACGGAAGGTCCTGGAGGTCCTGGTGACCGTGCAAGAGTCTGGACCGAGCAAACAACACCTTCCCCCTGCAAAATGGAGCTAGTCATACATGGTCCATGGTTGCAACCCAATCCAAGCTTGCCAAATGGCAAACACCCATGAGCGCCCAGCGGCCATAGTAAAGGTCACCATTGATCACTTGTCTATTCTCAAGTGCCTGGCAGCCCAGGCCGGCAATGGCCAGCTTTTCAGGTTTGGGCGGCAGTGTTCCGTCACATGTCGCATTCCTTGCCCAACCACCAACAAAGGTTAAGTGACCTGAACTAGGACCCTACAGGGGTACCTATAGGATAGTCTATAGGGTTCTTCAACCTTTGCTGGCAGTATCCCGTAGTTTTCGCAAATTCACAGACATATATGAGGGCCACTGAGGGGCTCCTTCGGAGATTGAGCGCCCGCCGGCTGTTTCCCCTTCCCAGTCAAGTCCAGTCCAGGAATTGCCTTTTGTTGGCAAAGGGTCACTTTGACTGCTAGAAAGGAACGCTCTTCTTCTACACGGCATGCCAAGCATTTTGAGATACACCATCCATACAGACGGTTGAGACCATTGAACATGCTGTTTTGTTGATTCCTGTTCCAACTTCGCAGATGTCAACTATATTTTATAAACAATTGATGGAAATAATCATCAACCGAACCACACGCCCAGTCTGAACACCCCAGTAGCTGAGCAGCTGAGCAAGTGAAGGGAAATCATTGGAATTCGTCTTGTGCACCATGGAATCACCCAGTTCAGCCACACCCTCCGATCACCGATTCCGCGAATTTCCGAGCTGATCGGACTTCGAGCCATAGAGAAAAGACATGCCCCACGCAATGGGACATGGGTCCGGGGCTGCTGCGTCGATCGTCAAGTGCCCCATCAAAAAACAAAACACTTCTTCATGTCTGTTTAATAGTTTTTACTTTTTTTTCCTCAGACTAATCCGATGGCAAGAAGTAAGAGAGAGAGACAGAGAGTGCAATGATTGTCTATCCAACCATGACGTCAGAGACTTTGGGACCACTTAAGCCTGTCAAGATCTCTCAGTCGGGTCACGATCGCTTGGACTCTCGAGATAGGTCGCTTTGAAGAAGCTGCCCGTGCACATGCCCTTTTAACACCACTCTTCTGCGACCAGGCTGAGAGTTGAACACATGTCTGAAGAAAAACATCAACTCTTATGCCCTGCTGATCTGCATACACAGTGCAACACATTGCATCTTGAAGTTCTTGAACATCAAAACGACAACAGCAGCTGTCTCAAATGGTCAAAGGGTTGGCAAGGTATCGATTATATAGGTATTTTAATAAAGATTTAAGTGTCTATAAAATGGGACCACACCGCCCATTATGAAATGGCACCCTGGTTGATCCTTTTTTTGGTGCAAGAGATCTCATGTCATTTCAAGGCAGTATGTATAAGTATAAAGTATAAGGGGATGGTCAGTGTGGCGGCTTTCACGTGGACCCCTCCAGCCTTGAGACCCCCCAAAATCGGCCACCTCCAGCGTGAGGGGCAGCCCACCAGGTAGCGTGACATCCAACGCCTCCGCCACGAACGTGAGTGCAAAACCCCCCCCAGGCGCGCCACAAGCGCGTGAACTCCAGTCTAGATGGGTGTGTCCGGCAAGTGCCTTTTTTGGGGGGGGATGCGGATCATAGGATCTCTAAGACATGGGCGTGCATTTGAATAGGGAGAACCCCCTTTCTACGCCCTGGCTGGGTAGACATGGAACAAACATCCGAACCTGCACCCAAGTAAACCCATCATAGTCTTGGAGTAGGCTCACAGCACACTCACACCTTATGATCATGACATGGTTTTCGAGATTGCTCTG